GCTAAAATTAAAAAAATAATAATTTAAACATTATTGACTAGTATTTTTTACAAGAAACTTTAACAAAGGATTTTACATGAAAATAGAACCATCCATGTCAAATTTCGCAACTTTTTTGATGAATTTAAAACTGGGCCAAACACTGTGATGTTACCCCTAGAACTCGAGGCCAAAACTAAAAAAATACTCCCTCCATCCTAAAACTATCTTCCCATTTTTCCTTTTTCTCTATCTCCAAACTATCTTCCCATTTCTTTAAAAGGGTGTAAATAGACTATATTACCCCATCTGGCTTCCTCCTTGTCTTTCGTCTCCCGTCTTCGGTTCTCTTCTTTCTCCCTCTTCCTCATCACTTCTTCCTCTCTCCCTACCTCCATCTCTCATACCCAGGTAATCCTCATCTTTTCTCCATCTCTCCGAAAAATCAGTAGTTCTAATCCTCTTCTTCTCTCTTCCCTCTCATTCTTTCTTCGTCTCCTCAAAACCAGATTTAGATCTAAAGTCCCTCTCCCCCTTTCAATCTACTCTGGCGATGCTATGCCCCTTCTTCTAAAGTCACTTTTGATCTAAAGTCCCTCTCCCCCTTCGTCTCCTCAATTTTTGGTTAGTTTTTTTTAGTTTCCTTTTTCATTTCTTTGGACAAAATTAGGTTTTCAGTCATCCATTGTCGCCTCCGAGCAAGCCACGTCATTCCAATCACGGTGCAGCCGCTCAAAGTTGTGGCTAATTGCACCGTCCAATTGCCAGATGGGGTTGGGGATCTGGATTGAAAATTTGGAGTGTGTTTTTCAGTTTTAAGAGGGGTAAAATTGGGAGTCAAAGGCAAAATAATTGGACTCTTAAAATGGCAAAAAAGTCAATGTGGGAAGATCAATATAGGACGGAGGGAGTAATAATGTAGACAAGTATTTTTGACAAGAAACTTTTACAAAGGATTTTACATGCAAATAGAAACTTCCATGACAAATTTCGCAACTTTTTTGACTAATTTAAAATTTGACCAAAATATGTGATGGTACTTCTAGAGCTTGAGGCCAAAACTAAAAAAATAATAATGTAAACAATATTGACAAGTATTTTTTACAAGAAACTTTTACAAAGGATTATACATAAAAATAGAAACTTCCATGTCAATTTTCGCAACTTTTTTTATAAATTAAAAATTAGGCCAAAAAATATGATGGTCACCCTAGATCTCGAGGCCAAAACTAAAAAATAATAATTCAGACATTATTGACAAGTATTTCTGACATTAAACTTTTACAAAGGATTTTATTTGCAGATAAAAACGTCCATGTCAAATTTCGCAACTTTTTTTATTAATTTAAAATTTGGCCAAAAAATATGATAGTACCCCTAGAGCTCGAGGCCAGAAATAAAAAAATACTAATTCGGATATTATTGACAAGTATTTTTGACAAGAAACTTTAACAAAGGATTTTACATGCAAATAGAACTATCCATGTCAAATTTCGCAACTTTTTTGATTAATTTAAAATTTGGCCAAAAAATGTGATATTACCCCTACAGCTCGAGGCTAAAACAAAACAAATAATAATGTAGACATTATTGACAAGTATTTTTGACAAAAAACTTTTACAAAAGATTTTACATGCAAATAGAAACTTTCATCTCAAATTTCGCAACTTCTTTGATAAATTTAAATTTGGCCAAATTATGTGATGGTACCCTAGAACTCGAGGCCAAACTAAAAAAATAATAATTTAGGCATTATTGAAAAGTATTTTTGACATGAAACTTTTACAAAGGATTTTATATGCAAACAGAAATACCCATGTCAAATTTTGAAACTTTTTTGATATATTTAAAATTTTGCAAAAAACTAATAATGAAAAAATTAGTGACAAGTATTTTTGATAAGAAACTCTACAAAGGATTTCACATGCAAATAGAAACTTCCATGTCAAAAAAATGCGATGTTATACCTAGAGCTCGAGGCCAAAACTAAAAAAATAATAATGTAGACATTATTGACAAGTATTTTTGACAAGAAAACTTTTACAATGGATTTTACATGCAAATAGAAACTTTCATGTCAAATTTCGCAACTTTTTTGATTATTTTAAAATTTGGCCAAAATATGTGATGGTACTCCTAGAGCTCGGAGGAAACTAAAAAATTATAATTTAAACATTATTTATAAGTATTTTTTACAAGAAACTTTAACAAAGGAGTTTACATGCAAATAGAACCTTCCATGTCAAATTTTATAACTTTTTTGATGAATTCAAAATTTGACCAAAAAATTTGATGTTACCCTTAGAGCTCGAGGCCAAAACTAAAAAAATAATAATGTAGACATTATTGACAAGTATTTTTGACAAGAAACTTTTACCTAGGATTTTACATGCAAATAGAAACATCAATGTCAAATTTCGCAACTTTTTTTATTTATTTAAAATTTGGCCAAAAAATGTGATGTTACTCCTAGCGCTCGAGGCCAAAACTAAAAAATAATAATTTAAACATTATTGAGAAGTATTTTTTACAAGAAACTTTAACAAATGATTTTACATGCAAAAAGAACCATCCATGTCGAATTTCGCAACTCTTTTTATGAATTTAAACTTTGGCCAAAAAATGTAATGTTACCAATAGAGCTCGAGGCCAAAACAAAAAAAATAATGTAGACATTATTGACAAGTATTTTTGACAAAAAACTTTTACAAAGGATTTTACATTAAAATAGAAACTTCCATGTCAAATTTAACAAATTTTATGATTAGCTTAAATTTAGCCAAATTATATGATGGTACCCCTAGAGCTCAAGCCAAACTAAAAAAATAATAATTTAGACATTATTGACAAGTAGTTTTGACATTAAACTTTTACAAAGGATTTTATATGCAAATAGAAATATCCATGTCAAATTTCGCAACTTTTTTGATGTATTTAAAATTTTGCCAAAAAATTTGATGGTACCCCTAGAGCTCGAGGCCAAAACTAAAAAAGTAATGATTTAAACTTTATTGACAAGTATTTTTTACAATAAACTTTAACAAAGGATTTTACATGCAAATTTTTTGATAAATTTTAAATTTGGTCAAAAAATGTGATGTTATCCCTAGAGCTCGAGCCCAAAACTAAAAAAATAATAATGTAGACATTGTTTACGAGTATTTTTTATTATAAACTTTTAGAAAGGATTTTACATGCAAATAGAAATACCTATGTCAAATTTCGTAACTTATTTGATTTATTTAAAATTTGGCCAAAAAATGTGATGATACCCCTAGAGTTTGAGGCCAAAACTAAAAAAATATTAATCAAGACATTATTGACAAGTATTTTTGACATGAAACTTTTATAAACGATTTAACATGGAAATAGAAATATCCATGTCAAATTCGTAACTATTTTGATGTATCTAAAATTTGTCTAAAAAATGTGATGTTACCCCTAAAACTCGAGATCAAAACTAAAAAAATAATAATGTAGGTATTATTGACAAGTATGTTTTACAAGAAACTTTTAGAAAGGATTTTACATGCAACTAAAAACACACATATCAAATTTCACAACTTTTTGATTAATTTAAAATTTGACCAAAAAATTTGATGGTACCTCTAGAGCTCGAGGCCAAAACTAAAAAATTAATAACTAAGACATTATTGACAAATATTTTTGACATGAAACTTTAATAAATGATTTTACATGTAAATAGAAATATTCATGACAAATTTCGTAACCTTTTTGATGTATTGAAAATTTGGCCAAAAAATGTGTTGTTACCCTTAGAGCTTGAGGCCAAAACTTTGAAATTAATAATTCAAACATTATTGACAAGTTTTTTTTACGTGAAACTTTTACAAAGAATTTTACATGCAAATAGAAACATTCATGTCAAATTTCAAATCTTTTTTAATGTATTTGAAATTTAGCCAAAAAATGTGTTGTTACCCCTAGAAATGGAGCCCAAAAGTTTAAAATTAATAATTCAGATATTATTGACAAAAATTTTTTACATGAAACTTTTACAAAGGATTTTACATGGAAATAAAAACATCCATGTCAAATTTCACAACTTTTTTGATGTATTTAAATGGCCAAAAAGTGTGATGTTACTGTTAGAGCTCGAGGCCAAAACTAAAAAAATAATAATTTCAACATTATTGATAAGTATTTTTTACAAGAAATTTTTACAAAGAAATTTACATGCAAATAGAACCATTCATGTCAAATTTCGCAGCTTTTTTGATGTATTTAAAATTTGGCCAAAAAATATGATTTACCCCTGTAGCTCGAAGCCAAAACTAGAAAAATATTAATTTAGACATTTTTTATAACTATTTTTGACAAGAAATTTTACAAAAGATTTTACATGCAAATGGAAACATTCATGTCAAATTTCGAAACTTTTTATATTGATTTAAAATTTTGCCAAAAAATGTGATGGTACCTCTAGAGGTCGGGACCAAAACTAAAAAAATAATAATTTAAACATTACTAACGAGTGTTTTTGACAAGAAACTTTAACAAAGAATTGTACATGCAAATAGAAACATTCATGTCAAATTTCACAACTTTTTTTATGAATTTCAAATTTCGAAAAAAATGTGATGTTACATCTAGAGTTCGAGGCCAAAACTAAAAAAATAATATAGACATTATTGACAAGTATTTTTGACATGAAACTCTTACAAAGAATTTTACATTCAAATAGAAACATCCATGTCAAATTTTCTGACTTTTTTTATAGATCTAAAATATGACGAAAAAATGTGATGGTAACCCTAAGAGCTCAAGGCCAAAACTAGAGAAATAATAATTAGGACCTTTATTGACAAGTCTTTTTTACATTAAACTTTTACAAAAGATTTAACATGCAAATAGAAACATCCACGTAAAATTTTGCAGCTTTTTTGATGTATTTAAAATTTGGCCAAAAAAAGTGATGTTACCCTAAAACTCGAGGCCAAAACAAAAATAATAATAATTTAGACATTATTGACATGTGTTTTTGACAAGAAACTTTTACAAGAAAGAAGTTACTCCGTATTATAAAGCACAGCACTTATAGGTGGTGGTACAATGTACAATCCAAAATACCTCAGGTAGTAGAGTTAGTAAGTTTCAGTGGGGATAGTGCTTTCAAGAAGGGTTTGAGCATCCAGGCGACGTGCTGGATCAGAATTCAACATCTCAAATAACACTTGTATCAGATACTCAGACATTCTGTTTTGTAGAGGAAATGATCCCTCACTCTTTATTTGACAAAAGATCATCTACTTTTCTTCCTACGTGTCCATTAGATATATAAGCTTAAACATCACCAAGGCCAGTGCATAGATATCACTTACCCTTGTGACGATTCCAACTTGCTCATTCAAAGGTGTTTTGTTATTCCAATGTTTCATCTGTTTTATTATCTCATGTGCCTTCTAGTGCCATACACCCCCTATCAAACATTGTTTCCTTTCTTCTACCACTTCAAAATAATAAAAGTGATATTCTATTGATTATGGTGACTTGAAGTGATTCAAGTATCCTCTTTTGATTCTATTTCCTGATTGAGAAATTTTATTACTATGATGATGATTACCTTGATTTACGAGTTGAGATTACCATGATTACCTTGATTTACGGGTTGAGATTACCCTGATTACTGTGGACAACAATTTGCAATCAAAGTCATTTCCTTTTGTGATCAGTGCGAGAATGATATATTACTTTTACTACAACCATTTTAACTTGTTCATCATGCTTGGCCTTTTTTTCATTTCTCCTTTTTTAACAGAGAAATCATGACCCTATTCCAAATAAATCTAAACATGATGTGATGCTACAAGGAAAGCACTTTTTTTCAAAATATATAAATTCAATGACTCAATATTCTTATTGAGATTTTTGTTCTGTTGAAGGCATGGGTGGAGACCACTGTTCCAGGTTTCGTAACCTTAACTGAAATGGAGAAAATAAAGATGGATTTTAATGCACTTCCAACACAAATTCTGTATTTGTTCTTGGAAGAATGTGAGTGGTAAGACTCCATCTACAAGAACATATATTAATATTATCATCTGCCAACTTAGAATGTAATCTTAGTATTAACAATATTTCCTTTAAATGTCAGCAATTTGGCTGATTTGTCTTCATCCAAGGAGTATTATGTGATGCAGATTTTTCAAGATTGTGTTAATGGTATGGCCTTTATTAATTCCAAAAATCTAGTCTATTGTGATATATCTTTGAACAACATATTCATTGGTTTTAGTGGAAAAGCAAATATAGGAGATTTTGGTTGTGGTAAGTTTTTTGTTATACCTTAATTAGATATTTTCATTTTAATTTCATGATCTCACTTGCTTTGAATGCACGCCACAACTTTGACACCATAAAATTAAAATGAAAAAAACTAACAAAAATATAACAAAAAACTTGCCACCACCAAAATCTTCTATCTTTGCCTTTCACTAAAATCAATGAATATGTTGTTCAAAGACATATCGCAATGGACCAAATTTTTGGAATAAATAAAGGTCATATCATTAAGACAATCTTGAAAAATCTACATCACATTATACTCCTTGGATGAAGATAAATCAGCCAAATTGCTGGCATTCAAAGAAATTATTAGTAATACTAAGATTACATTCGAAGTTGGCAGATGATAATATTAATATATATTCATATAGATGGAGTCTTACCACTCACATAGTCACATTCCTCCCAGAGAAAATACAAGTGTGTTGGAAGTGCAACACAACTCATGCTCATTTCCCCCATTTCTGTTAAGGTTACAAACCATGGAACAGTGTTCTCCACCTATGCCTTCAACAAAACAAAAAATCTGGATAAAAATACTGAGTCATTCAATTTATATGTGTTGAAAAAAAAGTGTTTGCCTTGTAACATCTAATTATGTTTGGATGTATTTGGAATAGGGTCCTGATTTCTCTGTTAAAAAAATACAAATGAGGGAGAATTGAAAAAAGACCAAGCATGATAAACACGTTAAAATGGTTGTACTAACGAGAATATATCATTCTCGCACTAATCGCAAAAAGGAATGACTTTGATTGCAAATTGTTGTCCACTCAGTTTGCTCTTACACTAATAATCAATTCCCCCACCACCACGACCTGTTTATAAATTGCACAATATATAGTACATATACAATTAATTACATAGTATCTAACAACCATGCTTTATTTAAGGCAATCACGGTAATCTATAAATCAAGAATCTCACAGTAATTAGATTCTACACCATTAATTACGGTAATCAAAAGAGGATACCTAAATCACTTTAAATCACAATAATTAGGGTAATCTCAACTCGTAAATCAAGGTAATCAAGGTATTCTCAACTTGTAACTCAAGGTAATCATCATAGCAATAGAATTTCTCAATCAGGAAATAGAATCAAAAGAGGATACCTGAATCACTTTAAATCATCGTAATCAATAGAATATCTAAATCACAATAAATCACGACGATGAATAGAATCATGTTAAATTACGGTAATCAATGGAATCGCGATAAATCATGATAATCAATAGAATCTACACCATAAATCACGATAATCAATAGAATATCTAAATCAAGATAACAGTATCCAAATCATGATAATCATCAATCTCTAAATTAAATCAGATTGGAAATCAAGGTAATCGCATCTCTCTCGACTAGTAAATCACGGCACCTAATTCCTCCACAGTTTGTCTAGGCTTAAGACCAGCCCTAACCCTAGTCCTACCCACCAAGACAACCCCAAGACCAGCCCTAGAATGGAGCATTAAGAGCTAGACAACTAAACCCAAGGTATCACTATAACCCAACCAACTAGATTATATAATGACACCATGTTAAAAGGCGAGAAAGTAGGAATCAAGGATCAATTTGACTTGAACTAACCGTTGGGCACTATTTCTGTCTCCCTTAGTAAAATGTGCCCACGGAAGAACATATTCTCATTGATAATGAGGTCTACATAGTTCATTTGATCCTAACAAACACATGTAGTCTCAATTATCGTACAAAACCTACTCTTCTAACATACGCCTTTCAGATTAAAACAGATTAATTTCATTTCTAGCTTCAACACAGAATTCGACTCATAGAATTACACCCAAAACCAAGGAATACGCTACTACTCACTCATCACAGTTTCACAATCAGCAAAATAACCAAAGATTGAGCATTTAAACTTCATTCCAACCCTAAACAGATGATTAATCTCAATCAATATGATCCAGATGCAATTCTCGTGATACTGTAATAGCTAAGATCCGAAACACACAACCCAAACAAAACGAAAATCCAAAATTGAGAGTTAGAAACATGTAATTTAACCTTCTAAACTTCAGGAACCAAATTATAAAGATCTAAAATACCTATCATGGATTATACCTTTGAACACCATAACTATCAAGTTTCGGAGGTGGACCTATTTGGAGGTATGATGCACGTCAGACGTTAGCTCTCGTCTCCCTCACTCGCCGGGAAGCGCAGGCGATGGGGAGTTTTGTCACCGACGAAAACCTCGAGATCGCTATCTCTCCCTCTTAGTATAATCGCGATTGGGTTTGAGAATGACCGACCTTATCCCTTTTTATCTCTTTTTAATCTTCTTTAATTTAACTTAATTAATTAAGGTCATATTCTCCTAATCTTTTCAACTTATTACTTAAGGGCTGTTTGGCAACTTCTAAATAGGTAAGTGTTGAACCAGTAAGAGGTCTGAACAACCAGTAAGAGGTCTGAACTATTAAGTGTTAAACCAGTAAGAGGTCTGAACCATTAATAGCTAGTATATTGTTTAACTATTCAGAGGCAAATGTCTAATCAATTCAAATAAGATGTCTTAACCAATTCAGATAAGAAGTATTAACCAACTTCATTCAATTTTTTCAGCTCTTTCTAATTTTTTCTAACATCCAATTCTCATTTTATAATTTGAATGAATGGAGCATTGCTGTCATGTTTCAACAAATTGCTTTTACCGTGCCCAGCGCATTGCATACAAGTATTTTTAAAAGCACCAATAATGTTAGGGGTACACAAAAATGTGATATCTCATTTGTACACCAAACAAAAATACACACCGACACAGACACTCCGTGTCTGTGCAACTAGTGTATATTTACTCTTTATATATTGTAATTCTTCATCAATATGTTTAGAGTTTTCTTCTCTATCTCTACCTCTCTTTTATGGAGCTTGAAGAATGCTCAAAGTTCTTCTCTATCTTGATACGATATTCGTATCAATTGATACTTTCATCCTTCTTTATTAATAAATAAAATAATTAATCTAACACGCATACAATATATTCTTCCGTATACCCTTTGTTTTTTTAGGAATACTATAGCCTTTAATTTATTCATTTCAAACAAACTAAAGAATTTGGTGATACTCCGTAAAAATTGCATTAAAATACACCGACACAATTAAAAAATAAAATTGCATTGATTAAACTTGCAGACCAAAAAACGTACCTTAAAGTATATACCACCAGTGTGTACTATTATTTTATGTCAATGTGATGATTCACACATGCACAAAATAGTAGTGTAAGTATTTTTGCACTATCAATTTATATGTATGAACTATCAAAATATTAACGCATACAATAAATAATGGAAAGGGACTACCAAATAAAACAATTTGAGAAAAATAAAAGAAATGCATCGTTGTGAACAAATCAAGAAGAAACACACCTCAGCGCGGGACTTCATGACAAACCATATTTGTCATAATTCATAAAATCCCTTAACCCCCTAATCATGACTACACAATTACTATTTTCCTCTCTTCTTTGTTATTTAAATACTCCGTAACAAATAAAAACATACAATATTTCATTAAATAAAGAAAACATAAACGACTATTAAATGATAAAACATTAAAAAAGATTAATTATTTCATTACATAAAAAAAATGAAACCATACAATACTTCATTTTAAAAAGATAAAATTACACTAAAATAATGGAGATGAAGATGGGTTGTTTGTATGGTGTTTTTTTTTAACTTGGTGTTTTTTTGTTGGAATATTATGAAATGGAATGATTGAGTAGAATTCTTCTTTATTGGTTGACATTTAACTCCTCTCACAATCCCGTCAGGCAAGGATGAGGAGGGGTGAGGTCGTGAGGAGCACTTAGAGTGAGCGATTTCATCTTTTGGAAGAAGACATACTCCATACTACTTTTCTAAAATGTCTTGTTATTCAGGAAGGTAATATCCTTGGAAACTGGACGAACTCACTTGATCACTTACCAGGTTTCCAGCCATTGCAAAAAAAAAGAAAGAAAAGAAAAAAAAATAAAACAGTTGAAGAAAATTAAGACTGCATGGCCTGTGCTGCCTTGGTCAAAACATTATCTGCATGACTCCCATTCTCATCAAGCTTCTTCCCTGCCTCCCCAATGTGCAACTGTTCGACCCGATCAGCAACACCCTCGTTGTCATTTGGCCCATTAGCAGAAGTTTCTGCCGCATTCATATCATGCGGACATGTCTGCCAAATCCTTATTGTTCCGTCTTCCGACCCCGAAGCATAAGACTCTCCCCCTGGAGAGAAACGCACACAGTGCACAGGACCATGGTGACCCTTGTTGCATCCTGTGAATGGCAACAAATATCAACAATGGTGACAAATTGCCAGATTTGCAGACACAAATATAGGCCACCTAAAAAAATAGACAGTAGAACCAGCATATTACTATAAGGTTCATTGCATCTACCGCCCTATTGTTTTGTCAAATTGCCAAATGCCCCGCAAGGTTTCTGAAAACTACAGATACGTTCCTTCACCAGTCGGATTCCCCGCAAGCAAACAAATTGGTTATTCAACCAAACTTGGGGGGTTAATGTAATCAAGCTTACTAGAAGCAAGCAGAGCTTGTATTTTAAAAGGTTCAAGGCATGGTGACAAGGCAGTGAGAGG